CAATGAATGACAAAAAGAGACTCATAAAAATTTACAACGTCAAAGTTTCAGGCATTAAAATTATCCTTCCTATGGGCCAAACTGAACTCCTTGGTTGTTGGTAAGACATGCAAATAACTAAGACATCTTTATTTTATAAAAACCTCATTTCCACTCATGTGCCTGACACCTGGGTAGACATTCCACAAATGTTTACTGAACTGAATGTACAGCTCTCCTTTGCCCAGGGAGGAGCCTCCTGAACAGCAGAAATAAACCTGAGTGTTTTCCTTCAGTGATTCTACCTCGGTGTCCGCCACGCCTGTCTCCTATCTCAAAGGTATGCTTAGAAACATTTAGAAGTGACCAACATCGTATGTGTTAGTCATTAATACTGTTCACCAAATATTTCTAGCTTTCTACGTTCTGAGTACACAGAAAGATTACACTTCCTGGCCCCTTGTGGTTGGATGGAGCAGTGGGTCAAGGGGCTGTGACCAGAAGTAATGGGAGTCACTTCCGGGCCAGAGCATTTAACTGCCAGGGCAAAACTCTCCAGACCTCTCCTTCCCTCTGTTATGGTCATTAATGACACTCAAGATCTGGATGCTCAGCCAGCTTCATCCTGACGTGGAGCTGGCCCTGGACGAAACAGGATGGTCATATGATATGAGCAATAAGTAAACCTCTGTTGTTTATGAGCCACCAAGATTTTGGGGTTGTTTGTTACTGCAGCACATCCTGGCCTAGCCTGATTGATAAAGTATCTGACCAGAGCACTTTGCCACAACTTACCACATTTTCACAAACCACCTGGTGTAAGATGAAAACATAGATAGCACTTCTAAAGGATCTCAAAGATGAAGGAAATCATCAAGGTGTCCAAGTTTTATCCAGATGTCCTTGTAGCCAGATGCTGCTCTGCCCATTTCTCTTTCTGTGACCACCAGATTGCAATAATGGGCTAAGGTAGTGTCCTTCTACAACTGGCTCCTAGAGGTGAACCCCTTATAGGAGAGCTTGTGGGTGGAAGGACACTGGAGGATTCTTTGATACTTCCACCCAAATCCTCTTTAATCCCCATGGGAAAATAGCACAGGGTGAATATACTGCCTTATAAAAAAAATGCCTTAGAATTTTAAAAAAGTTAAATCAGACAAGCCATAATGAGAGTAGATGCTGCAGACTAATTAATGCAGCAGTTCATAACCTGAGTATCTCAAAATCCTAGAATCCTAGTCTATCAGTCAGTCAACAAATGCTTCTCTTAGTATCCACTCCATTACAGGCTCTGCACAGGTGATTGAGACACTGAAGTAAATGAGACAATGAGAAGCTCCTGTTCTTAAAAAGCTTTCATTCTAGTGGAGGGTGACAAAGCAATAAATTTACACACAGCAAATAGAAAATGTCAGGTACTGTTACATTGATACATATGAAGACGTAAAATAGTGTAATGATATAGATCAGGGTTGGCAAACGACCGTCTCCGAGCCAAATCCAGCTTGACTATTTTTGTATGGTCTATGAGCTAAGAATTATTTTTTACATTTTTCAATGGTTGAAACGAATGAAAAGAATATTTCATGATGCATGAAAATGATATCCCATTCAAATGTCAATGTCCATAAAGTTTTACTGGAGCACAGCCACACCCTACATGATCTGCCCTGGCTACTTCTCCAACCTCAGCAACTGCGGCTCTGGCCTCCACTCTCCCTACTCCAGCCACACCGGCCCCCTGGCTAATACCCGAACACCCAAGCCAGCTCTCTACCCTCACCTCGGCCACTGTACAACTGTTGCCTCTGCCCCCCTCACTTCCTTCAGGGGTCTGCACAAACAAAACTCAATCAGAGAAGTCTCCCCCACCCACACTGTGTCTCCTCCCCCTGCTTCATTTTCTTCACGGCACTTATTACCCCTGACATGTTATGGATTTGCATATTGCATGCCTTCACCCACTACACTTGGAACATAAGTTCTATGAGAGTTGAAACATTGTCTTGTTTCCTGTTGCATTCCCAGCAGGGTGATCAGTGGGAGACATGGTAGGTGCTCAAGAAATAAATGAACGAACTGTTGAATATTGGAAAGTTCCAATGAGGAGCAAGGGAGATCCTTTATGAATTAGGCCATCACAACCGGTGAAGGCTTTCAAGACGCAGGCGGGGGAGGGGGCTCAGAGTATCTTTGCTTTAAAATGTCCTAGTATCTTGGTAGAGACTAAGAACTAGTGGCAAGAGAGAGAGAAAAGTGGATTTGCCACCATAAAAGCAACCTAAGAAGAAATTCTCAGGTCAAGCACATTCCCAATTAGTTTCCTGCCCTCTCTGCTAATCTCAAGTGGTAGGGAAGACTTGAGCTTGGAAATGTGCTCAGAAACAATTTTACTGTCATTTGTCTCCCTATTTCTCTAGTACCTTTAGGTAATTATGGTAACGATAAATGTGCCTGGGAGTTCCAGATCTTATTACGTCAAGTTCTCCATGGAAGCATCCATGTGTCCAAATACTATATTCTCATTCCATAAATTGTCTTTATAGGCTTGTCCCAAGAAGGGGTTCCATAATGGAAGGCGTTTAATATTCAACTTTAATGTTACTTTTTTTTCCTAGAGCTCTTAGCAGTCTATAGTAAAGGTTTACCCACAATTCTAAATCAGGATTTTTAAATTAAAAAAATAAGTCATACGAGGAAGTATTATCTTCAAGATATAAGATACAGGGAGTCTATTTTATCCTGAGTACCAATAATATGCCATAGTGATATAAAAGCTTTAACGACCAGTTAAAAGTGACTAGGATAGAATAGATCTGTGTCTTTGTAATTCAACACATTTAACTACAAGGTCATACATACAGAAGAAATTGATGGAAAATATTTCAAGTGTCTTTTGTGCCAAGGACTGTGCCCCATAGAAAAGTAGGCAAGAGCTCATTGGGCCATTTGACTAGCAACAAAGTCAATGGACTTCCCTGTGCATGACTTTGGAAGTGGGAATAGGGGGGTGTGTGGGGGGGTCTGTTTCCTGGACTCAAATATGGAAGGCACACCTCATCCTTGTTATTCAATTCACTTTAGAGACAATTTCAGAAGAAGGCAAGTGACACAAAGCTTATGCAGTCTTGTGAGCCATGTGACTTCTCATGAAAGTTAGAGGTATCTCGCTGTCCTGTGGATCTTGGACTTACTCCAGTCTTACACAGAGTTTGAACGACTCCAACACCCAGCAATATTCTTCCACCAATGAGGTTAAGAAAGAGGAGGCTAAAAGTGTGGGGGAGAAGGAAACAAATTTTGCCAGAAAACAGTTGGGAAAGCCTACCATGACCCAAATTATTCTTTTATCGCTGTATTGATATGTCTACATCTGTGACTTTGAAAAGATTTATGGAGGCTGGCTTCCCCTAGTGGCTTAAGGGGGTGCCATGATTCCTGGTGACAAGAACTGCTCATCAAATAAATCAGAAATAGTGCTGGCCAGAAGGTCAATGTGAATGATAGGACAGTGAGGCTGCAGGTATTTATTTACCAAATGCCCAGACTGTCTACACTATTGTACTCAGGGTTGTCACATACAGATGTGAGTCTATGTGGATGGAGTTTCCTAGAGTTGTGCAGTGTACAACCTATGCAACTGTATGCGACTATCCCAACTGTACAAAAAAGCTAGAGACAATAGACACAGAAATAAATCCCACATCTAGATGGTTAATCCAATTATATTAGTGAGCCAAGATCAGGCATTGGGTTAACCTTATTTCTAGAAGAAAACCTATTCTGCTTAGATTGAGAAACTTAGCAGCTAAATGCTATATACAGTATATTTGAGTTGAGATTTTAAACAGCTTTATCTCAGTTCACAAATTCCATGCACTGCTAACTCCAAACAGCTCTCCTAAGTGGTAAGACTAATTATCGGGGCATTGGTAGCTGTTTGCATGGCTGCTGCAAAAAAATGTTCACAGACTCATATAACTGTAGCAGAGGCAATGCTAGTCTAAGCTGGAAAAACAGAACGTTCAAGGCTAGAGAGTGAGGACTGTGGGGGAAGGGCAAGCTAGGGACAGAACTGGCATGGCCGTCCATTCTGGAAAAGAGGTGGTTAGAAGAGGGGAGAGTGGACAGAAGAACATGCTCATGGACCTACTATTGAGGAGGACCCTGAAAACGTCTCATAAAAAATGAGACATTTTTCTCTCAAAAAGCAAAATATAAATTCATATCCCAGTGTCCACACCATTACCATCTTGAATATGCTTTCATACTAAATTTTAATTTCAACAAGAAGAACATTAACATTAAGGAACATATTTCTTCTTAGATTTTCTTTTAAGAAAATGTTGAGAGGAAAGGAAAGGTGTAATAACCAATAAGACACACCTCCTTATCCTTCACCAACCCAGTCACATCGACGCTCAAACTTCTGCTTAACTCCAGGTGCCCCTTCCCTTCATATCAGAAATATTTAATTTAGCTGGGGGTTGAGTGAATATATGTAGATTCACTTTTTAAAGGAAATTCGAGTAGATATGAACAATATCCCTAATAGTATTACTAAGCATATAATGCTGCATCTTCTATGTATAAGGACACGTTTTCTGTCACCTGCAAATTCAACTGCTTTCCCACATTGCCCCATTTAAAAAGTTTATGTGTTAGCAGTAATCTGAAGCATTTAAAACCTCACTGTGCCCAGGACACGGAAGGAATTTTTGGTGTCTGTGCTCTTTAAAGGAGCTGAAGGACCTAAGAATACGACCTATTGCCAACAATTCAAAGCCTCCTCTCGCACTATCAAATCAATTGACATTTCAAAGAGAAATACAAACATTTTAAAACTCCATGTGATAAAACTGGAAAAAGAACACCCAACTCCATGAACCCAACGCATTCTAAAGGACTCCCGAGTTTTGTGGACTTAAAAAAAGCTGAACAGCCTGAAAAGTCTTTCTTGCTTCAAACAAGTCTGATTTTTCTCTCCCGTCACCTAGGCTCAAAATGAGATTCCATTTTACCTGCAATCTGGCATTGAGATCCAACATCCAGGCTGGCGGCAATGAGGTGGAGCTGACGGGCTGTGAGCTCTCGGTGTCCATCAGAATTTGGAAAGTTAGAAAGGTGGAGACTGTTGGCCAGGTGCCTCTACCCCTGACACCGTGTTCGACCTCTACAGAGACACTGCACGCACTCTCGGTTTATGCGCTGCAGGCATATATGTGCTTTATTCACGACAAGAGTTAAGATCGTTTCATTCCCAAGGACCAGTTCTCCCCTGTTGGGGGCGATATCACCCCTGTTGAAAATGCATGTCCTAAGGACAGCTACAAAAACTCAAGTCCCCATTTGATTGTCTGTTCACGGCCAGAAATTCCTAAATCAATAATGATTTAGCACTTCAGTCAAAACAATTATATCTGAATCATTTTCAAAATAAAAAGTTGAAGAAAAGCACAATATAATCTATGAAATACATAAAATTGGGCAAAATATTGCTCAGTCAGTAACATCCCAGTTAATTTTTTTGCATTACTCTCAATTCACTGGACTCTATCTGATGCTCGCTCACAGAACCACAGAGTCAATCACTGTTGAACCTCACACATTTCAAAAAGCAAAAAACCAAAACAACTTCCGAGAACATTTTTCTAGATAGTGGCAATGGGTAATTTTGAAAACCAGATAGAAAATGTCTGTAGAAAGCACTGTAGTTTTCAATTTACAGAAGAAATTAACTAACTAAATAAACTAACGTTTGCTGCTCACAAATGATCTGAAAATAAATGTCCCATAGTTATCTGTGTCATAAAAACAAATCAGTGCTTCATTAGAAAATCACTGTGCCATCTGCATATACAATTGAGGGGAAACTTCCCCACCTGAAGATTCCAGAATGCTCTCTCATGTTCTATTACGTCTCCAAAAACCCCCCCTCCCAGCATTTTCAAACACTCATGCCAGGAATCTTAGTAAGCCGAAGAAACAGAACACTCATGATTAAATGCAGGATGTATCCTGTCCCACTACCAGGAGTGTTCTGCATTTCTATATTGTCTCAAAAATAGTGGGGGCAAAGAAAGAAAGTTCTCTGTATAAGCAAATATAAAAATCTGCATCATATTAAAAATTGAGCTCACCTACCTTCACTGGTCCATGTTCATAACTGGAGCCCTGCACCAACTGCAGATAAGACATCATAAAAATATTCACCACTGCCCACTGTCTGTACATTTTGAATATTTCAATATCCACTGATTACCAAGCAGATGACATCAGGCAGCTAGAGAAAACTGTTTCAAAAGGCATCCTCCAGAAGGAAAGTTCGAAACCCCAAGACTTCACATGGAAAACAAACAATCAGTTGTGATCAAAATCCAACGAAACGACTTCAATTAGTCAAGGTACGTTTTTGCACAATCTTATGGGGGGAGAGACATGAAAAGAATTGTAAATGTTCTCATGCTCCAAAAATAATCAGGAGGTGGACATGTCTTCCACTTGAAATGAGAAAGCACTCTAAATCCATTTCATGTCCAGCAAATTAACAAAATCTCTCTCCACCCTCTGCCCCAGGTTCTAGTTGCTTTGTAAGGAGGTGGTGCGGCCACCAATGTCTGCAGCTACAGAGGGGGGAACCCGATTCTGGATTCAAACTTTTTCACAACCCTCATGGAAGCTTGCAGAAGCATGTGTCTTAAATCTGACCCAGATTTTGGCAGAAAATGCAGGGAAGTCTTGGCTGTAATCCTGTCGCGTCCCTACCAATAGCAGGGCAGTTTTAAAAACTGACTCAAACGTCAGGACTGCTGTTATTTTAACGCAGATAACCTGTAACGTGAAACCCCAGCCCAGAGGCATGACTGTTGTATCGAAATTGCATTGCTCAGAAAGGGACCTCAGATGCTCACACATCTACTGCCAGTGACACACAGAAAGCAATCAGATTTGCTTAAAAAAATTCACATGCACAAAAATAACAAAATATCCATACACACATGAAAAGGCAAACACACACAAAATGATTTTTTTTAACAGAAATTTAGTAACTTAGGTCAAAATGAAGAAAACTGATTTATTAGGTTTATTTGCACGTGCCAGGAAATATCTCAAGTGCATTCCTATAAAAACCATGTTCTTGCTTTACCATGGAATTCTTTACAAGTTAAGAAACTGATTAAGTCAGCTTTGGAAATTGAATGTGTTGAATGGATGGATGCCACAAATGGCAAGATTCTAGAAAGCATTGAGACCTGCTCTTTGCTCTTCACTCGTTGCCAATCTTTGATTTCCAGGTTTTGGCTCTTTCAAACCCATTTTTCGCGTTTCTGAAATCAAGAATGGCCTTAGAAATCTCTTCATTGGTGTTCATCACAAATGGACCTAGGGCAGAAAAAGACATTCAGAAAGTTCTAGGTGACAATGTTTTCTTCTATCACTAGAAATGTACGTATTTCCGTAGTCCTTCATTTGAAACAAATCCAGGCATATCTGAACAGTAAAAGGTTATTTTCGCAGCATCCAATCCCCAAGGACTGTAATACAAGTATGTGGACTAGGATTGTTCATGATTATAAAGATCAAAATTCAGATAAACTAACACAATCGCATCCCACCCATTCGTTGCAGGTTGTCATCAGCAATGTCAATCTCTTTATTCAAAACATTCTTAGGTTTGGTTCTATTACAACCATTTTTGTAGTTAGGTTTTTTCTTCCTTTTTTTTAAATTGAGGTATAATTGATCTACAACATTATATTAGTTTCAGGTGTACAACATAATAATTTGATATTTGCATATATTGAGAAATGATCATCACCACAATAAGTCTAGTTAACATCTGTCACCATACATAGCTACAGAATTTTTTTTCTTGCGATAAGAACTTTTAAGATTTACTGTAGTTTGTTTTATATCATTAGCTGATATCAAGAATTGAACCAATCTGATACAAAGAACTGGAAAGTCTTGTCGTAGTTTGGGTGTCTACTCAGTATATGAGGCTGTGCACTTACATGAGGGGGTCTAAGACATTTTTGAAAATTAGTAGCACCTCATTGACAATAAACAGGAGACTACAAAAATTTCAAGTCAAGAAAGTATCACACTTTTGGATTCTCTAGGGGTCGGCAAACTTTTTCTGTAAAAGACAAGATAGTATATATCTTAGATTTTGTGGGTCAAACAGTGTCTTTCTCAACTACTACTGGCCTCTTCTGTTGAAGGGCAAAAGGAGCCACAGGCAATACAAAAGTGAATAGGGATGGCTACGTTTCAATAAAACTTTACAAAAACATGCAGTGGGCAAATTTGGCCCACGGGTCAGTTTGTCGGCCCCTTTGTCTAATTCCTAGGTTTGAACTCGGGTTTTGCTAAAAGTGTAGAAGTCCTCCTCTAATCTACCAGGAGGCAAAGTATCTGTATCTTCCCTTTTCTTTACATATCATAGGGGCAGAGGCATAGTGGACTGTATCACTCCCACGATCTGCTGGATAAACGAGGCCAGCTCTTACACGGCACTGGCAGTGTCTTGAAAGCAGTTGACAGCTTTGTCCATTCAGTATATTTCTTCCACCAGTCTTCAGAAGTCCCTGACATTCCTTTTACAGAAGCTCTTCCTCTAAGGGACTTTCTCTGAGAAACTCGGATTAAAATCTAACTATTACTTAGAGGGAATAACACATTCAAACTTTTTAACCCCTGTTAGCTTGTCAGCACAGATTTTGGCGCTCCCTTTAGCTTAACACTTGAGAAGGAAGACACAGGATAATATGTTTTGATGATGCTGAGGCCTTTTGGGAGGCTGCAGGGAATAGGATGGCAGCAGAAAGGGAAAAGAGGCAGAAGGCATCTAAATTCATTCATTCATTCAATTACTTATCTATCAAGTATTTGTGGAGTACCTGTTAAATGACAAACATTGTGCTAGGAGCTAGACATGTAAAGATGAAAGACGAATGAATGACAATGAAAGACGAATGAATGACAGACTCTCTCCCCCCAAGGACCCCAAATCTATCACACAAACAGATATGGAAACAAATTATTAAAAAACAGTGTGAATGGTAAAAGTATGGAATGATAAAACATGGAATGATAAAAGTATGTAAAATCCAGAGGATCAGCACAGAAAGGGGAGGAGGAGGGGCCCAGGAAAGGATTCACAAAGGGAGTGATGTCAGAATAGGCATACATGGAGGAAAGGCATTTTCAGGATTAGCATGCAGGAGGAACTGAGGATGGTGACACAGTGCTGGAAGGTGGGAGTGAAGGGGAAAAAGGATGGGGGGATCTGATATGTAGGAAGAGGCCAGACCCATCTGGGCTTTGGATGCATCTATGGGAAGAAGTTTGGACATAATTCTGCAGATGACCAAGAATCATTGAAGGGTTAAGTAGAGAGTAACGTGATCTGACTTGCAGTTTTTAAAGAAGACTTTGGCATCAGGGTAGAGAGGGTGTCAGGCCAGGGAGGCTGAGTTGATAGTGAAATTGTTAAGGGTAACAGGACATAGGAGGCTGTGTGTAAAGCAAGGAGTTCAGTTCTGGAAATTCTGACATGGAGGTATTGGAGACAATAATATGGCTTCCTGGCAGAGGTGCTTGGTACATTGTTCGAAATATGGATCTGGAGCTCATGAGAGAACTTTCATCTGGAGCTTGAGATTTGGACTGTATCAGGTAGGAAAGCATGAGAGAGCCCTCATGAGCAAAATAAATAATAAATTCAAGAGGGCACCCTGGAGAAGCTACCTTTTGAAAGGGCACATAGAAGAAAGGGAAATGGGACTCGGAAAATGAGAGCAGGTACTGGGCCAAGGACCGATTTCCTGCACGCCATCATTTTGCTAGAGTCTGGAGTTGGGGAGCACCTCTCCCGTTTCCCAATTATATTTCTGTAAAAACAGTGTACTTCTCGGCTTACATTTTGACACTTTTCTGGGGTATTCTGCTGTCCTTCTTAATTTATAACGTGCACATGAATCATCTGAAAATCTTATTAAAATGCCCATTCTGATTCAGGACATCTGGAGTGGGGTATAAAACTCTGCGTCTCTAACTCTCTCGAGTGATGCACCTGCTGACACACCACACTCTGAGAAACATGGGGAGCACTGGAAGCTTGGAGCCCTCCAAAGCTGAGTTCAGGAAGCTCATTTCCTCAAATCCTCCAGAAGAAGATAACTGAAACCATACGTTTCTTTTTCTTCTTCTTGTGTTCCTTTTTTCTTTGGATACTATATCACTAAATTTCTTTCTTTTAATTCAGGTGTAATTGACATACAACATTGCATTAGTTTCAGGTGTACAACATAACGATTGGATATTTGCATACACTGCAAAATGATCACCACAGTAAGTCTAGTTAACATCCATCACCACACACTTACAAAATGTTTTTTACTTTTGATGAGAACATTTAAGATTTACTCTGTTAGCAACTTTCAAAATACACAATACAGTATTATTGACCATAGTCTACATGTTAAACATTACATCCCTCAGAAAGCATATGTTTTTTAATTGATCAACTATAAGGGTTATAAACAAGAAAATTATTGGATACCTATCGATAATCCCGTAAAGCCTCCTTCAAACTACAGTTTTCATCTCTTCTCTAATTAAAACTTCGAACTCCCTCCCCAGTAATAAAAATGCTGTGAGTTAAATCTCTCATTATGTAGAAGCTTGGTATAGTGCAGAGAGCACAAAACATGGGGTCAGGAGTCTAGGGTTCAAATCTCAGCTCTGCCACTAACTACTGCTTCCCTTCAGAGAAGCCACAGGGCAGAGGGAGGGGCAACAAGCATGGAGAGGGCAGAAGGACAGGGTAGCTGGAGACCAGACAGCCTGATTGTGAATTTAGCCCGTGGCCCTGGGCAACCCAATGAACCTCTGCACCTCCACTTCCTCATCTGTAAAATGGGGATGAGAGTACCTACCTCGTAAGGTTGTTTTGAAGATTAAACGAATTAATATTTGGAAAGCACTTTGACCAATCCTGTAAATAGTAAATGCTACCCAAGTATCTGTTAAGTACATAACAGTAAAATATCTGGATTTTTTAGATAAAAAAATTTGCTAATTTCCAAAAGGCACAGGACTCCATCGATGCTAGGGGCATTTCCTATTCTAAACTTCTATGGCATCCTGCCCTTAATTTGCAGACATATAATTAAGGACACTCCATGATTAGAGAAACAAGGCCCTTAGCTAATTCAGTAAACTAATACTTGTTCCCAAATAGTCGAGAGATGGTTGTGGCTGTCTTTAAACACGCACAGGTAAAAGAAAAACTTAAATGTTTGGGTTTTAACAAGTTAAAAAAAACCAAAATAAACAAAATGCTTTGCTTCTCATTAACTAAGGTTCAAGGGACACACCTATCTTGTCTGGTTAATGAGTCTGTATGTGCGGGCATATGCAGCGCCCCTGAGACCCAAACCTCTGAGAGAGGACTCACATAACACGGATGGAGGGTGGCTTCGAGCAGTTCCAGGCCTTGGGGTGTCACTTCATTCAGTTGGACTCCTTTTTTTTCCATTACTGGTGCAGTCTAACTTCAAAGACTTAGATCCCATACATCCTTTTCCCACCTAAACTCTAGTCGCTGTTAATAAAGACTATGGCCCTACTCAATTGGTCTACAGGCTTCTTCCAAAATAACAAACTATTTCAGTGCTGTTCAATCAAGATAAAAGGAAACAAGAACCATAAACCTTTGGAGTGGAAACCGAAGCATGCAAAATGGGGGTCAAATGCTATCAGCAAGGTGGGGTATAATTTAATGCTTTCCTCTCAAGTTATGACTAGAACAAAAAGAAGAATATTTTTAAAATAATCGGTGTTCTTTAAATTTATGATCAGCTGGGGGTTTTCCCTGAAATCGCTGTGTATACTTGAGAATTCATGCACGGCAAGTTGATGTTCTAGGGTTTTAATGCATGCTAAATTTCATAATTAGATAAGTGAACATATATGTTACATTTTATAGGCATTTATCTAAATAAGTTGGATTCTAGGTGCTTCTAGATGTTCCTCACTTAATCAAACAACAATATTATGAGAAAATCAAGACAAAGAATTGAAGTGGCTATTATGCGTACTTATTCCATGATTTTCTGCCTCCAAGTATAGTCCTATTTCTACTATACCACAGTTATTTCTATTCATTTTTTTAAATAAACAAAGAGTTACTCAAATATTTTAGAACTTCCAAAGAAATACTCTTAAGAGATTTCTATTTTTCACTAAAAATACAATAGACCACAAGGACAGTACTGAAAACAAACACTGTTATTTTTGCTAAAGATAAAGATGATATTCAAGTCCCCAATAGACCACAAAATCTTTTTTCAGTTGAAATTCCCTATGACACAATGCAAAAATACTATTTTTGTTTTCCCCACAGTTCCAAGCTCAATGCCCTACACATGATAGGTACTCAAGAAATGTTTCTTTAAAAGAAAGAAGAGAACGAATGTAGAAATAAATGCCATGTATATATTTTCCTCTGACAATGGAGAAATGAAACAAAATTCTCAAATTTGTAGATGGAGAGATAGGTTAAAAATCCAGCTAGTCTTTCCAATAATACTATATATGTACACTACTTTCAAAGAAAAAGAAAATCAACCAAGAAAATCGCCATCATTTTGGGCTTACCATGCTGGACAACTGGTTCTCTTAATGGCTCCCCAGCAATTAGGACGAAGTGGCTTCTTTCAGGATCCTAAAGTCAAGGAAGAAAGCATCAAATAATAAACAAGCTTATTTCTTAATGTCAAATTAGGAGTAATTTGAAGTTGACATACTAGCCAAATGGACAATGTTCCTAATTCTGAACATAAATTCCAGAAATATTTTCTGTGCAGCACTCAATACGGAAATGCTTATTCCTTAAAATGTTTGGTAGCAATCAGAACTCAAGAAAAGTCCAGACTGCCAAAATATTAACCTTCTCAAATTAAGAAGGAGAATTTAAGATTTTCTTTAACTGGAAACATCTTTAAGACAAACCATGTGATTGACTTGGCTTATTATACGATTTATAATTCCCCACTAACAGTATCATTTTTTAAAGGGAAGATTATTTATGCAAATCCAAAAGTAACATTTTATTACTTTTGACACTTATGACGATTCGTGTAAAATATGCCCCAGAGATGTTACACTCAATGGAACCTTAGAAAAACATCCGCGGAACATCTGCTCAGGCAAATTTCTCTCCAAAATGGTCCTCTTAAGTCTCTAAAAGCTTTTATTTAGAAATAAGATTAGATTTTTTTCCCCTGAAACTGAAAAAAAATATTAATTAGAATATCCAGTGGTAGTGTGGATGCAGGGAAAGATACACTTGTATATATCATTTGAGAGATTTTAAATTGGTGCAGTAATCCTTCCAGAGAGCTCTTTGACAATATGACTCCAAATCCCACCACTGCTGATGTTCCCTCACCCAGTAATGCCAGAGAAACCAGAAGAACCCCCACCGCACTTGTAAGAAATAATAATTGCTTTAAGCCACTAGATTTTAGGGTGGTCTCGCACTCACTAACAGATAACTGAATATTATGGATTTCTTTTGAAGTGTCTCTTAGGTTTATCTGATTTAGAATAAAACAATAAATAAAGCCATAATGATAGGCACTTTAGAACAAAGCTTTCGAAATTTTTAAAAATTTCGCCCATATTCTAATAGTATGGCATATTTCTAAATATGTGATATTACGTTAAACTATATCACATTATATTTACATGCTTCTACTAATACACAGCTCTTACATTAGAAATCATTACAATGTCACTAGTGCCAGGAGACTTATCACTGGACTCAATAAAAATGAATAATGAATTCTTTAATCTTCCACGTAGTTTAAAAAAAGCCTCATATTTTACAGGACTGAAATTTATTTCTCCTTCTGCCTCCAACTTTATTAAAAGGGAATCTAGAGTAGAATAGTTTCTGCAAAAGTCAATTTACTCCCCACAATCCCAAGGCTGGTGTTATTTAGTACATCCACCCAGTGGATGCTTTAATCATTTCTGCATGTTTAAAAAATATCTCTATTGAACCATTCCCAGGCCTAGATTTATTTATACATCATCACCTTAACTATCCATAACCCAATTTGCTGTCAAAATGTGCTAATACGAACCCAGCTGAAAACCAAAGGGTCAGCCTAAAAAGACTTCTGCTAATTCAAATTTCAAAATAGATGTCCTAAGCCCCATATAATAAAGATTAGTGCTGTAACCTCAGCACACATCCTCACTCAATCCCTACTTGCTCTTACTTTATACATGATGCTAACAATTAGGCTTTGTGGTTATCAGATCTATAAGAGATTCAAAGCTAGAAGACAGGAAAGCACTACTATATATATATAGCAATACCACAAAATGGACAGCCTAACATCAATGGTGGAAAAGAAAAAGAAAAAACTATGAAAAACTGGCACAGAAGCTTAAGAATTAGTGTAGGACCACTTACTGTAGGAGCCAGCAGGTGCTAAAGACACCATCATACTTTATAGCTCAGGACAACAATTAACATACAGTCATGTGCTACATAACGTCATTGTGGTCAATGAGGGACAGCATATACGACAGTGGTCCCATAAGATTAGTACCATACAGCCTAGGTGTGTGGTAGGCTATACCATCTAGGGTTCTTTAAGTCTAATCTATGACGTCCGCACAATGACGAGATCACCTTTGATGCACTTGTCAGAATACATCGCTGTCGTTAAGCAACATGACTGTACATGCTGATGAGCCAAGGTTATAAGTCAAATCGTACATAATATAACATAAGCCCAGAGGAAAGGGGAAGGTTTCTATCTGAAATGATTTATTTTTCAATGCCATGTTTAAGTCACTAAAAATTGAACTTAACAAAATACAGTTATTAAAAAAGATTTATTCCCTAAGGGCTTTGGAGTGGTGAAATTTTAGTGTTAATCAATAGATATTTGAAAGAAAAGTATCTCAGAAAGAGAGTTCAGATGGTTGGCATTACATCATTTATAATTTAATCTGAAAGAAGACGTCACTAAATAGTGTTCTGAGGTGTTTTTCTGGAGGGGAGACACACATGAGTTTTCGGGTCAGGAGGCAGAGGATTAAGGGCTAGAGGTTACAAGAGGAGTGAAGAGGAAAAGCCTACCTCCTTGTGTCAAGGATGTGCTGACTCCTCAGAATGCAAGTTTCTTAATTCAGAAGATGCTTGTTTTGTGAACAGCAAACATGTCCTACAGCTTACACGTTTTGGAATGATTATAAAATTTTTAAAATAAACGTTTTGCCCCTTTTGATACTGCTCAAATCAAATGATGACTTTCGCTTTATAATTCAGACAATAGGATAAAAGGACACTTGAATTTGGTCTGAAGTGAAAAATGATTAAACTGCTGGGTGTGGAGGAGTTCAGGAGTTTGGTTTTCCATTTTAGAAATTTGAAGGATGGTCCAAGCTTCTTTTAATGACTTTTCCACAAAATTAACCGCTGAATGGCCCTTTCTCCTCTAACCCAAACCAGATGTTTTCTGTCTTTTTCTTTTTTCTTAAATGCATCTTTTCTTTCCTTAACTAGCCTTCTTTGGGTAAAGCTGATAATCTTTCTGGATATTCAGTAGAGCGTTGATGTGATTCAGAGTCCCAAGTGCTGTTATCTTGAGAAGTCCTTGTCTATGGTGACCCTGTATAGGGTATCAAATGATGAAAATCAAGCAAAAGCAAGAGAATGAAAGACCTGGTTAAGACATGAGTCCCTGTGTGGATCTATGCCCTTTGGGAGTTTGATGCAAAGATCCCTTACAAAGGTAACAGAGGCCCACTTGCTGCTTCATGTATCATTACCCCAACTAAAATTCAGGATCTTTTGGCACCAGACCATGTCTTTTACTTTGGTGCACCTTCTCAGAGCTCCTAATTCAGAGTTAGGCTTTTCTGGGTTTACTTAAATAATTCACTTTTACAAATTACTCTGGTTATTCCATAAATATTATTGCCAAGCTATGTCCTGAGTTCCACGGATACCAACAATAAATGATCAAAGCCCAGATGAAGGCCCTGTGATTCATTTAAGGTGTGGATCATTTCTACACTATGAGTATGTACTCACAGTTTGTTTGATTGATTATAAACATAAAGCTTAAGATGATAGTAGGACTGCGGATGAATCTGAGGGCATGCTTTTGCTTTAAGAACATTTATTATACTGATACAGTACCTGAAAAAATGACAAGAAACTGAGCTTTAGCATGACTTCATTGCATGCAAGCGTTCTTACCAGACTTCACTGTTTACACCTCTCAGGCCATAAAAGATAAACAATTAACTGCTATCAGTTTAAAACAATTAATGGTTTATTTTGTTATAAATTTTTATGCATAAATAAACAAAAAAGTTGTCCAGCTTTAACAGGGTGTTTGGTTTTATTTCTGTCTTTCAATCTTTATTTTAATCAAATGTTAATCTGCATTAATTTAATGAGCTCGCCGTGAATGCCGCCAGTTAAAGAGTATCGTTGCTCTCAAGTACGGTTTCGATGGCATCAAGTGAGGAATTGGTGTCTACCCTGACAAACTACAAATGAGTTTGCTAATCCATGAGGCTTAAGACCTTCTCAATAGGACACGAGTATAAACATGGGTCTCAAGGTGAGATGGAGCCTTTCATATCAAATCCATGGGCTCTCTGATCACAGAGCTACCCTGGCAACCGGAGCACCAACTGTGGGCCAAAGCAGCACAGAAGAGCCCTAGGCCAGGAAACAGAGGCTGTTCCAGGGTGACTAGTACAGTACAGTCCAGGATTAAATGTCCAGAGTAGCCTGGGGTTGACCCCAATCTCGAAGAACTCTGAAAAAGTTGAGGCCATTTTGAAGCCATTGTTGGGGTTTGGGCTTCCTCCAAGAAATCAAAGGGTCTGGCTTAAAGTCTCTTAAATCTAGCATAAACCAGGCCCCTGTAGTTGCTACCCACCAAGGAAGATTTCAGAGTAATGGTCACAAAAGGCAGTCCACCCTTTGAGTGAAGAAGACAGGAGTCCCGGCAACCTAAAATGTGCTGGCCTAAGATACGTCAAATGCTAAGATGGAGCAGAGAAACCTGGGGAGAGAAAAGATGTGATCTATGTCAATCCTTCCTTGCCCTCCTCTCCTGCCCCAGTGGATTGGTCACTCTAGAGGAAATCACCCATACTACTAGTCAACCAGAAAGATAGGCGTGATGGTGGAAGACACAGAAATGAGGAGGAGTGAAAGCACAGGAAGAACAGTGCTAGAAGGAAACCAGGGAGTGTATCAACTCCTCATTCTTGACCACAACTCAGTGCAAATGGGATCAGAGGGAGCACCAGGAAGTCACGTCATCTGTCTTTATCTATCCTCTGGCTAAAACTAGTTCCAAGTGAAGATAACCTTGGCCTGAAGCCTGAGTGAATCAGGATCCTTTAGGGCCTTTTTCTAGCTATAGAAACTGTCATATGCCCTAAACCTCAGGGTATAAGGTATGAATCCTTATTAGGTAACATGTATCTGGCATGACTATCTGTTAAATTACCTGTTTAGATCAGTGAACTTTCCAGCTACCATTATTGCACACCCACTATGTACTAGACCAGGGATTAGCAAGCTTTTCCTTGTAAAGAGCTAGCAAGTAAATATTTTTGGCTTTGTGGGCCATCCAGTCTCTTTGCAACGACCCAACCCTACCATTGTGGTGTGAGAGCACCCATAGACAAACAGAAATGAATGGGTGTGGCTATGGTCCAATACAACTCTATTTACAAAAACAGGCTTACATTTGGCCTATTGGACATAATTTACTGAGCCCTGTGCTAGATCTGGAGGAGACTCTTGACGTATGTAATCTCATATATTCTTTCCAACAACCCTATGCAGTTGGTATCATTATACGAATTGTGCAGACAAAGAAACTGAGGCTCAGATTGGTTGAGAAACGTGTCCAAAGTCACACAGCTAACAAGTGGCAAAGTCAAGACTCACACCTTCACAATCTCTTTTGTGTTGTAATCTAAGAGGGGCTTTCTACTATTCATGGATATAAGTGACAAATGCCAATTTAAATGCTAATTTTTTTAAAAATTAATTTTTTCATAGAAGTCTTTCTAATGTCTTGACGGCTCAGGCTATGCTTATATACAGCAAGAATTACAGAAGTGCACATAACAGAATGGTGCCCCTGGAGCCAGGAGCGCTGCTTGCCGATGAAGTGATGGTTTCAGCCAACTCTTTTCTAGCCCAGCTGCCTCCCGTCTTTCTGGCTCCCCTCACCACTTCTTTCTGGTTTTCCATTTCAGCTCCCAAATCCCTATCATTTGCAATGTGCCCCCTGCTATATTACAGGAAAAACAGAGGTTGTCAAGTTAAACCAGATAACATTACAAACGAATCCACTATCAGAAGGTTCTGGGCTATGTGTAGATTCCATGCCTCTTTCCTGCATTGGGTTGAAATCAATGAAACTGCCTTTTTTTTTTTTTTAAAGATTGGCACCTGAGCTAACAACTGCTGCCAATCTTTTTTCTTCTTCTTCTTTTCCTCCCCAAAGCCCCCCAGTACATAGTTGTATATTTTAGTTGTGGGTCCTTCTAGTTGTGGCATGTGGGACACCGCCTCAGCATGGTCTGATGAGCAGTGTGTAGGTCCAGGATCCAAACCAGCGAAACCCTGGGCCACCGAAGCAGGGCGTGCAAACTTAACCACTCAGCCATGGGGCTGGCCCCGAGATTGCCATTTTTGTAGGTAAAAAGTGGCAGTTTCATACAGTTCACTCTAATAATAAACAGCACAGACCCTGACATATGCATTTCCTCTGGTGCTCCTGAGGCTTTTCTTCTGTTTACCTCACAGTTCACGGTGGTGTTGCAGACAATTAAAGCAGCAGGAGGTGAGCTGCCAGGCAAGTGGCAGAAGATGTGAGAACTCCTCCAGTCCACTGCATTCTCCAACAGCAGGGTCAGAGGACCTCGCCCCTGCCCAGCCAGTCAGATTGCCTCTCCACCAGTCACCTGCACACTGAAACTGTGCTCATCCCTACTTTTCAAAATTCATCTACTCAGGAGCTTCTGCACGATTGTCTCCTCAATCCCCTTTATTACAATGACACAAAGTACTCAAGTTGGTTTAATAGGCTCACAAGATGGTGGGTAATCACCCAAGAGAACAAAAAAGACACAGGGAAGAAACTTGGCAACCTGGGAGAAAAAGCTCCTAAGATGCCTAAAATATCAGAAACTTTACTTAAAACACAGGGATGCAATACAAAAGGACTATGAAATGCATCGTGTTCTCTTCTCAGTTCGAAACGGGGACTACTTCCAAAGGGCTCTATGTGAGTACACACGTAGATCTATATTTAGACTCCTAATGGGCCGATCCATTTCACTTATGCTAAAAATAAAATAAATCAATTGTATAAAGAAAGAAAATTAAGAGACAAGGAAGATGTGTTGCCTCCAGACCCAAATTTCTAGGGGTAAACAATAGGGACTTCAGATGATTCCTGAAGATGAGGAACCAGTATAGATAAAGCTTTGAAATAAACCAAGAGAAATAACAAAGGTTAACGAAAGGCATTGATAAACTTGTGGCATAGTTTCTTTCCTCAAGGAAGAGAGAAAAATTTCCAGCTACAAAGGAGATTGAGGCATTTTCAAAGTACAAGTAGAAAGTACAAGTTAAGAAAATTCAAGATTTTTAACACTTGCCTTGTTCTCCACCTGGACGCCGTCACCTTCCCCCAGCACTGCTGTGTGATGAGGTTCTATTTTTTGTTGTGCATCATCAGGCCCTACAAAAAAGATGACCCACTAAATTTAATACTCATTATAGTATATTTATCAAATGATTACAAATTTGGTTAACTACATAGCACCGTAATATTAATTTCAACCTCAGAAATAACAGACTTAAGAATCTCCTTAAATCTCTTGGTTGATTATATTTGCAATTATTAAAGTCTCAAATTGGCTGGTTTCCAATGTTGAAAAGAAAAGGGGGTTGAGTCTGCATTGTATTTCCATTTACACTTTTAATGTCATGCCTAACAGTTCAATTAATAAGCAAAGTCCTTGGCATTATATGCTAATAGGAGTGTTTCCTTGGGAAAATTATAAATCTCACAGGGGTTAAGCATACTTAGGAAAATTAGTAAATTCATTTCAACAAGTATACTGAGCACCCACAATTGCCTAATACTATGAGAAAATACAAAGAAGTGCAAAGCAGATTCCTAGCGTACAAATAATTCAAAATCTCATTGGGAGAAACTAAATATATATTCATAAAATAACCAGAGAATTATTCAACTGAAAAATAAGTTGGATAGCTATTGAACTATGAACAAGGCCCTGTGCTAAATGCTGGGGTGCAGTGGGGATCTTCAGGATGAATATGTTTCCATCTCTTCTATACTGAGGTGCACAGATGAAACAATACAAATCAAATTGTGTCTTAAAGGCAACAACAAAGTAATAAGCAAAGTTCAATGAGCGAACAGGGAGTTGTAGGGGCGAATTCAGGTCTAGGGACCCTAGGAATTTGTTGTGGAAGAGTAAAGACTTGAACAGAGCTCTGCAGGATTAGACAGACCTACAAGAGGCAAAGCTAGGATGAAGGACATTCTAGACAAGGGAATGGGAATGTGCAGGGCATCTCTGGGCGAATGGTGAACTTTCTACCATTGCTGGAACATTCTTCTGGGAAGAATGATGGAGACGTAGACTGCCTTCAGATCAAGGAAAGACTTGAAGGCCACGCTTATCCATATAACATGCAGGGCCTTTGAGGAGAGGGTGTGTGTGTGTGTGAAATGGTCAGATCTGTGTCATGGAGAAATGACTCTGGGAGCAGAGAATAGAATAAATTGGAAGGGGGAAGACTGAAGTTAGGATGACCCATTAGGAGTTTATTCTAACAGTCTAAGTGAAAATGAATTACAGTCTGAACTAGTAGAGTGAACACAGAAAGACAGGGATGGATTGGAGAGGTGGAGTTGTGAAAGAATCTCAAGATTCGGTGACAGTGGGACAAAGAAGAGTCTAACATGATTCTCACTAGGAGCAGAATGATGTAGTGACCTGAAGATTACAACAGCGGTTCTGCAAGAGGAGCTAAAGAACAGAGAAGCCAAAGTGGGCTAGAACAGCCACGGGAGGCCGTAGAGAGGTGGTGGGATTTGGGCTGGGTCTTTCAGTCAGCTAAAAACCATTCATGCAAGTGGACAACAGACAAAAGATTCTAAGCAGGGTGAGAGGCCCATAAGGATGTCCAGGGGGATACACCTGCATGACATCTGGGGATATAAATAAGGGCATTCACCTGACACGTTAGTGCTAAAGCTGAATAATCAGTAAGGAAGTGCTTATTTAAATGAAAACAATAGCTTGAGGAATTATTATGTAATAGAAACATAAGTTGTGGATTTTGTGAATATTGATTAGACTCTAAACATAGCTATATCTTCTGCAGAAATCCTCCTTATCTCCACTTTGGAGATAACCTATGTGAAGCAACAGGGTTCATTCTGATGCTTGCAAATGTGAAATAGGATTCTAATAGAGGAGGAGTTCTTAACCTGGAGTCAGAGTGCTCCCAAGGAGTCCGTAGATAGAATTTAGAGCGATCATGGACTTGGATGGGAGATAAATTACATCTTTATTTTCACTAACAGCCTACTGAAATGTGGCCTTTCCTTCAGTCATGAATATAGGTAACAAACCACAGCAGTATTAGCTGGACTGATGACTGTCTCCAGTAGAAATCACAGGTATTTTCCTATCACATTACAGTGTTGCAGATCTCTCAAAACACACTTTATGTTCAACACTACTTAGAATTTAGAACAGACCTGCTGCTGGATCATGTTACTTCAAATGTCAGTAGAGAAGCACCCATATAATTATAAACCTGTTCTTTTAACATTTTAATGACTTCATTGAATTAAAAATACCATATCACTCAGAGGTGGGGCCTTGGCCAATGTCAAATGGGTCCATGGTACAAAGAAGATTAAGAACTTTTGTCCCAGAGACAGTGGTGTGCTGGTTAACGTTTAACAACTGGCTTTCGGGGACAAAGGGGAGAACAAACTTGATTTGTAGTGTGTGCCAATTTCCGTGGTGTAAATGGTCCCAGTGAAGCCAACTTGAAGCTCCCAGTGTGAGGTCAGGGAAGAGGTGCCCAACCAGCTCCTGCGAGCTGTCAAGAGCCAGCCCCAGCATACCACTAAAGGTTTCTTCTCCACCAAAGATTTAGGTCAACAAATTTCATGGAAGCAAATGATAGAACTCCATGGATTTTCCACTCATGCAAGGATTTGGCCAATAAAAGAGAGGTGTGGGAGGCTAAGAATAACCTCATTTAGAGTTGGGTAATATTTTCAACTGTCATATGGAGCAGCATTTTATTGTGTGCTTTACTAAGATTCCCTGGGAGCAATGAGCCATGTCTTTATCTTCAACTAATCCATATATAGCACCCATTACCCACATGGTCTACTCCTGGCCCCTAACTTAATCACATAGAACATTTCATGATACACAGACTAAAACAATTTATAAAGCCTTTTCACTATTTTGTTTTGTTTTTTTGAGGAAGATTAGCCCTGAGCTAACTGCTGCCAATCCTCCTCTTTTCACTGAGGAAGACTGGCCCTGAGCTAACATCCATGCCCATCTTCCTCTACTTTATAGGTGGGACACCTGCCACAGCATGGCGTGCCAAGCGGTGCCATGTCCACACCCGGGATCCGAACTGGCCAACCCCGGGCTGCCGAGAAGCGGAACGGAACGTGTGAACTTAACTGCTGATCCACCAGGCCAGCCCCTCTTTCACTGTTTTAATGGAGTGAGCTGGCAAGAGACAGCTCTCAAAAATAATGCTGAATTGGGATTTCTCTGTACCTCCTATCAGGGTAGCTTGTTTGACTATGGCGTTCATTGGTCTGTGAGGAAATCTTAATTTAGAAACCAAGAGTTGATGTTTTGCTAAGAGCGCTCACTCTAACTTTATATGGAATGTATTTCTGCCCATTCTTCTTGCTGATCTGGGAGAGGAATCACAGTATTGATACTGAAGAGGCCATTGGAAATGCTCCCCCGCCGGCAGGCCTTTTTTATAGAGCCTGTAGTCAGGTTTCTAGGCTAATTATTTTAAACGCACCTTTAGCTTCTGTATTATTTTATGAAATGTTTAAAACAAGGTCACAGAAAGCAAAACTGATTCTATCTTCATGTCATTTCTATGCTATTTCACCCATCTGGTTATCTCCTGAACCTAAAATAAGTCTCAAAGGAAATATATTTTATTGTTTCTGACTACTTTCAATTATAAATAGAGCCAAATCAGATAATAAATAGTTTCCATTGAGAAGCTTCGCCAAGAATGTTAAATCTAATAGTGCAGTTAAGGAAAATTTAACTGAAAACAATTTAATTACAAATATTTTTGTTTGCCTAAACAATCATAAAAGGGCAAAATACTTTAAGACATATTTTAAAGTCAGTGCTGCATCTTCAATGTGTGATTAATTGCTGTACAATTTTCCCCATATGCCAGATTTCTTTCTTCTTCTTCTTCTCTTTATAAGAACAGCTATCCCATTTACTCTCTGTTCCACACATTCTGGTACTTCCATCATAGATTTTGATATCATTAATTTCATATGTACAGTGGAAGCCCCTTTATCTGACACAATCAAGATCATTAATTGAAAAAGACAAACTCAAACATTTTATTTTAAATTAAAGTGTAAATTTGCATTCATTTGCCAATTTTTAGAAATAGAGTCAAGGTAGGTCTGTCGGTTGGATTAAAGCACAGTCTTTCTTCCTTTTTTTTCTCTTTTTTAAAATTTTATTAAGGTCACAATAGTTTATAACATTGTGAAATTTCAGTTGTACATTATTATTTGCCCATCACAATATGTACGTGCCCCTTTACCCCTTATGCCCACTCCCCAGCCCCCTTCTCCTCTGGAGAACACTAATCTGTTCTCTTTGTCCATGTGTTTATCTCCCAAATGTGCATGAAATCATATGGTGTTTGTCTTTCTCTGTCTGGCTTATTTTGCTTAGCATAATTCCCCCCAGGACCATCCATGTTGTTGTGAATGAGATGACTTTGTCTTTTTTTTACAAGTGAGTAGTATTCCATTGTATATACACCACATCTTCTTTATCCATTCATCAGTCGATGGGCACTCGGGTTGCTTCCACATCTTGGCTATTGTGAATAATGCTGCAATGAATAAGTCTCTTTGTATTGTTGATTTCAAGTTCTTTGGATAAATACCCAGTAGTGGGATAGCTGGGTTGTATGGTATTTCTATTTTTAAATTTTTGAGAAATCTCCATACTGTTTTCCATAGTGGTTGCACCAGTTTTCATTCCCACCAGCAGTGTATGGGGGTTCCCTTTTCTCCACATCCTCTCCAACACTTACTATTTTTTGTCTTGGTGAGTAGAGCCATTCTAACGGGTGTAAGGTGCTGATATCTCAATGTAGTTTTGATTTGCATTTCCCTGATGATTAGTGATGTTGAGCATCTTTTCATGTGCCTGTTGGCATCTGTATATCTTCTTTGGAAAAACGTCTGTTCATATCCTCTGCCCATTTTTTGATCAGGTTGTATTTTTGCTGTTGAGTTGTGTGAGTTCTTTATATATTTTGGAGATTAACCCCTTGTCTGATAAATGATTTGCAAATATTTTCTCCCAGTTGGTGGGTTGTCTTGTTTTGTTCCTGGTTTCCTTTGTCTTGCAGAAGCTCTTTAGGGTGATGAAGTCCCAT